GCTCAGATTTATTAAGTCACATCAGTCGTTTTTAGTTCAAAAGTGAAAATAATCTTGGATAAAATAATGAAAATACATTAATCAGAATCATAAAATGACATGAAAATTAAGTCAAATAAGATCAATTTAACTTGAATCTTTCCTTACATACCTCGCAACATTTCTTTAAGCCTTTGCTTATAACCAATATAAATATTCAAACGATCAATTTCTTCTTGTTGAAGTTTTTCATCATTTCGATAAAGCCATTGTGTTATCTATAAAATTATCAATAAATGAATTAATTCATAATTTGTATAAAAATAATGAATAAATAAAAATCGTTACAAACTGTATTTAAAAGTATTTTTTTAATTCAATCAATCTTTTTCTGTATTTTATTATTACCAAATTAATCGATGTCGGAATTTTGCTGATACTATTGCAATATTATTATATTAAATCATTTTTTTTTAAAAAAAGTAATAACTAAGAATAAATTACACGAATGCCTTCTTTTTGTCGATCATTAGCACATAACCATCGTGGACTTTCAGGCATAAATGAGAAAACGGTAAATTGAATTAAAGTTGGAACAACTGTGAAACTAAGCATTAAACGCCAGCCAGTATAAATAGGCTCTACATGAGATAATATACCTATAGTGATGAAAATTTTTGGATAAAAATCAAAATTTAACAAATTAACGGCTAACAAAGGATATCTATTAGCTAATTTAAATTTCCTTCAAATTGAGTTTACAAATGAATGAAAACAAATTAACATTTTTTCTGCTCAATATTAAATAAATCACAAAATATCTTTCGAAAATTTATAATTGACTGAATTTTGGTCATTAATCAATTTCCTCTTACTTTTACAATATGTCCTTTTAATCGAAAATTTTCAATTATTACCGTCTGCTCTCGGATTTATTGAATATCAAAATTGTATAATTAGTTGCTTTCAAAAACACATTGTGTATTTTGAAACTTTAACCTTCCGAAATCTTCAATGTATGAATGCTAGCTAATATAATTATTGATTACTATGAATTTCGGAAAGGCTGTCGTCCAAATTAATTTTGCATAACAAATTTTATTTTAGTAATATAAAATTTAAAAAATTGTTGAAAAACATAGTTTACCAATTCTTTTTTAACAGAAGAATATGATAAATATTGTAATTTTACCTGCAACAATATTTGCTGATGCTAATCCAAATGTAATAAACATTTGAAACGATGTGAGAAGGCAACCTCGATAATTAGGTGATGATATTTCACTGATATATACCGGTACAACGCTTGATCCAAAACCTTTAATTTCATATTTTCCCTATCGATATTACTGATCAATAAGAGGAGAAAATTTAATAAATTATTGAAAGATGCCCTTTTTCTATTTTCTGAAATTTCAAAAATAAACTATGTTATATTTGTCAAAATCATTTAAGAAATAAAAGTTAGCAATGATTTAATTTTAAGTAATTTTCTGCTGCTTAATATTATTTTTAATTGAAAATTTCCATTAATTTCAGAATAGAAAATTTATTTCTTCTAAATGGCGCAACTTTCATGCATGCACATATGCATGAAATATGTTAATGGTTTGAAATAAAAAATTCAAATAAAATAATATATTTAAAACATATATATTTACCTAATGCAGAACCAATTATAATTCGTCCAACAACAAGCATTTCTTTATTTGTCGAAAGGGAACACACCAATGCTCCAATGGTATCACATATAATTGCACTCAAAATAGCCTTTTTACGACCGAATTGATCACTTATTGGTGCAGCTAATAAGGAAGCTATTGTTGCTGCTCCTAAATTCAACTCAGAAGCTTTTCTTATGTTTTAGCATAATTCAATGAAAATTGTGATATTTAACAATCATTTGATAGTAATTTTAATAATTATGATAATGATAATAATAGATAAACAAACAAATAGGCAATTAATGACAAATAACCTGGCAATGACAACAATCAATGAATACAATTAATGTAATTTTTATAAATTTAATTTGATATTTTGTAATTTAAGAAATTTTTTCCCTTTTACAGGAACAACAAATGTTACTTTCCACCTTTTCTTTCTGCAAAAGATAATTCCGAGACTTTTTGAAAAAAAAAAAAAATCATTCATAATCTCAGCAAAATGGAAAGAGTGAATAATTTCCTTAGCATAATATGCATATTCCAAATTTTTTATGCTATTTTCACATACATTCACATTTTAAATCTTAAAAGCAACGATTCATTGAACATTAATGAAATAATTTGTTTATGCTATTACGAAATGCTTGTTGTTTAGTATTATTTAGTTAAAAATTGTAAAATTTTAGAAATTTATGATTATTATTGTCATATTATGATAATATCATAGAATATCATTCATTTTTATTATCAAATATCAATATCTACCAGGTGCGATAACCGTTAAAATGTAAAGAAATGTTTGATTGATAGGTTGCATAGCTTCATTATGTTGCATGTAAAATGAAGCATTTGTTATAATTCCACTCTCGAAACCAAATATGAAGCCAAAAAATGCGGCTGAACCAGCAGCTATGTAAAGATGGCGCAAACGAGATGATTGAATGGATGATATTATGTGTGAAATATTCATGCTAAAACATGTCAACTGCAAGAAAAAGGAAACGAATTGATTAGGTAAAACAAATTGAATTTAATTTAAAAATAAAAAGGAAAACGACTTGATAGTGCTAAAAATTGCGCTAAAATTGATAGTAAAAAGGTTGATGAATGAAATTTTTAATTATTTAATGAATAAAATTTCAATGAAATTTTTAATTTCATCCAAATTTCATTCATTAAATAATTAGATTTAAAATTTTAATTTTAACGAATAAAATGAATGTAAAATGAATGGAATTTTTAATTTGAAAATGTATTTATTTAAAGCATAATCTTTAATTATATTGCAGAGGTTAACGAAAATGCTTAAAAATGCAATGCACAAAAAAATTATGAAGAAAATGGTAAAATAATAAATTAATTACTATTAATTTTAAAATATATTTTAAAGATTCGCTATGAAAATTTCAAAATATTTAGAAAACATGAAGTTTATTTATTTATCAGATAACATGTCTAAACATCACACTACCATTTAAAAAATTTTCAGCAAACTGTCTGAAATGATGAAACTGAAATTGATAGCTAATTTCAATAATCTTCTGAAGACAACTGAACTTTTGTTAGAATTGAAAGACATTTTCTAAATTGCCTTTTTAGAAAAAAGCAATTTTCTCCACTGAATTTAAAGAATTGTGGAAATGACGGATTGGATGGAAAGAGAGAAATAATGCAACAAAAATATAAGTTAGTATTATGATTGGTTGGTAAAATTAAAAATAACTTTAATAGCCTTACTGCTATAATCACATCTAACATTTTTGACTGAAACGATGAATATTAAAGCTTAATAAAGTACAGAAAATAAAAAAAAAGCATGATGAAATTGGACGCTTTAATTCAATTCTTTTCTACTCACTCTATACGATGAATGGAGAATTTTATGACATACTTGAAAAGTTCAAATTACCAATTTTGGTAAATGAATTAAACATTAAACAATTTACTCTAAAAGCTGATTTCATCGAACAATTTACTCTAAAAGCTATCTAAATTTCCAAAAATTTTGCTCACTAAGAATTAAAATTACACTAATCATTGCAACATAACATTTTGTTATGTAATAATGCATTTTTTTTTTCTTTTTCTATTGCAACAAAAGTTGAATGAGGGAAATGAAAATCAAATTTGAATTTTCGAAGTGAATATGATCATTGTCTACATAATAGTTAACTTCAAATGTATTACATTTACTGTCACGAGAATTAAATTCATAGTAATAAATATGTTTAAGCAATTAGAATAATTTATGTTGTAAAAATGGATTATTCACTGCATAAATTGTATTTTAATGAATATTTTCAGTGTTCTTCAATATAATGGGTCATTTAGTCAATTCTTATCTTTGTTTCCCATTTCTGACTACCATACTTATTATTAAAGATTAATTTACCAGGAATCAACCCACATGTAGACATAATGGTTTTAAAAAAAATTACACCTTGATAACTTATATTCAGTGATTATGCTCTAATTAGCTCCCTCTTTACAAAACTCTCTACACCTATCCTTATGTCCAGTATCATTTTATCAGAATGTGCTTGCAAATTACTTCTATTTTCCCTGTATGTAAATTTTAACTATTTTTCGACCTTGAGTAATGCTTCTTTAGCTTACAATTCGAATAAAGTTTACTATACCAGGGCTCAAGACTACCTGTTTATCCAGTTCCCGACGTAATATAATAGCTATCCTCTAATGTCCGCTGACATTAAACCCGTTGTTAACTAATAAAACTTTATTCGAATTGACAAATTTCACATTTTCCGTGTTAATCTTTCCGATATGAAAAGTCCGTAATGACTGCTTGCGTTTAGCTTATAAACTTTTTTTTCATGCATACGGAAAAAATACCAATTTTTTTTCATACGGAAAAAAATTGGTACTTTTTTTATCCTATTAATCAGTCATGCATAACCAGATGTTGCTTTCGCACGAACTAATTTTAAAAAATGCTGATTTGCAGCATCCATAAAACGCTCTGTTCTGCGATTTGCATGTGAAAAATATAAGATACCACCAATAGATACAATATTAAGCATTTTTATCGTTTCACATAAATAGCTACAATTAGTAAATGCTTTCTTTGAAGTCATTAATTATGAATAATAAGATATGGAAAAAATTAGACCTTTTGATTAAACTTGTAGAAATTACAAAAGAAACGAATATTATTATCACATTTTATATTGTTATATCCATAAGACTAAACATAAAAAAACGAACTTGTTCTTAATTATTCTCAAAAGATATCTTTCTTTTTTCTTCGACTGTCCATCAAGTCGCTAAGTCGCCGCTGTTGATTCAATAGTTGTTGTATTTCATCGCGACATTTTAATAAATTTTTCTTCAACTTATTGGCTGTAGCAGCATCACGTTGATTACGCGCAACACCTTCACGCAGTTTACGTTCTCTATCTTTCAACTCCTTTAATTTCTTATTCAAATCTAATGCTTGAATACCAAGAGTTGTTGAGGAACAATTCTGAAAAATAGTTTTTCAAGCAATATCTCATTGTATTATTTTTTCACTTAAATTAGTATACCAAAAAAAATGAAGTGGAAAAAAATGCAGGTTTAGAAACATAATAAAAAATTCAAATCAGTAGCCTTAAGCATAAAAATCAAGTTTGAATCTAATATTAATTTGATTTTTTTTTAAGTCAGTAAGCACTGCCAACATCAACATGATTTAGCCGTCAAGCAGACAATGTATTTGTCAATAGTAAAGCAGTGGTTTCCCCAATAAACATAATTCCAAATAAAAACAATTCCACTCACAAAATAAAAAATTAACCCATAAGAAATCAGACTTAAAAATCATTCATAAGTTACGGTCATTTGATCAAGAATATGCTTACCTGTAATCTTTCCATCTCCTTTACTTTATCGTTTTGCTCTTCTGCTGCTGAAGCTTTATTTAATGTATCATTCAATAATTCGAAAACATCAACTGGCTGTTCAGCAGCTTTCAACTTTTTCGCGATTGTCTGTCTCACCTGTTGTTGACGAGATTTCATCCCATCCACCACTCTTCTGTTCTTCGCTTCCATACAAATATCCAATGATTTATCTTTAAAAAACAAATTATTATTTTTTCTGTGTAATCTATCATCCCGAAGTAAAATTCGAAGAATTTCTGTTAGCTCATATCGTGGATTTTTTTTTCACATTATTAATGTATAGCAACTCCGTTCTGAACAACTAGACAACGTCGGTGATCCTCATGCACAATATTTGAACTTCCATAAAACAAAAAGTGAGAAAAAATCAAAAATTTATATACTTTTGGGAAAAATTACTGGTTGAATTGCATGCACAATGCCATCGGATCTTCTACCAAGCCCTTCACCAGCTCGATAACCCATTTTCAGCAGTAGCTTCATCCCGATACCACGTGTATGCTTTTCCCAATCACCGATATCACCAATGGTAACATTTCCACGCCTTTCCTGCTTATATTCTTTCCATGAAGTTGTTGCTAAATCTTCGGTAGAAACTTCATCTAGAATAATATATAGTAACTAATTTAAACTACCTTCCATTACAAAAAAGTTTAAATCAAACAACAATATCTATTACAATCGAATTATTTTTTGCTCGCAACAAAAACATGACGAAAAATAATTAACTGGCTAAGTGCTGAACTAGCCAAGGAAGCGATATAAACATTATTCCAATGAAAGTTCAGTTAGCAGCAAGATAAAATAAGCGATTAAAACCTATTTCACAAAATGATTGCTTGACTGGGTCCAACATACTGATCAGTTATAGAAGAGTCATCTCATCAAATTGATGTTTTGTTCTGATACTCTCTTAAGACAAATAAATTTTGACTGTTTCAGGTAAAAATTTAAGAAATACTTACATTCGAATAAAAATTTAAGCTCAAAAGGAACCTTCAGCGTCATTAACTACTTGCGGGATTGGATAAATTTTATTTTGATCCACAGCAATTTCTTTTCCAGTAAGCAGTAACCGAACGGCCAATTTTTCACCATCTATAGCAGTAACTCGAGCACTGCTCCATAACTTATTTCCACCCAATACGAGTACAAGAGAGTTTTCTCGTACCATCCTAGATAAAACCAAAACTTTTTTTCATCGAAAGAGAAAGTGATAAAAATGTAAAGATTGAATCCTTATTCAATTTCCAATTTATTACAGCTATTCGTTTATGACAGACAATAAGACGGTATATGAAAGCCACAGTTCATAAACATACGAAATATCAGGTTGTTGATATTCTTGAAGGGTTGAAAACGAAACTTCTTCACCATGCGAAAAACGACATTCATTCCCATAATTACAGCGGTCGTTAAGAAAATATTCACAAGGCTTCATTGCTGCTTCAAGAGGATGACCATATAATACTCTGACCTATAAGTGTAAAATGGCAAGAAATATTCGATCACATGAATTGCTGGCTAAAAAATTTGATGTTGTATTTTATCAAATATAAAGTTCATTGATTCAACCATTTTTCAATGTTTCTGCTATAAAAAAAAAATTAGGAAGAAAAATCAAACTATTTAATTTTAAATTCACGAAGATTAGTTTCGAATAACAAACCTTCATATCATCCTCTTCCTCATTTGAATTTTCAACAAAATCTAAAATGACGGCGTCATGTAAATGCACTGCTTGATCAACAATTCGACTGTATGGTGCAAAGCAGTGCATTCCAATTAATTGACTGGAATCTTGTAAGTCAGCGTTAGTGCGAGTTTCATTAAAATCTTGTTCAGTCACTGAGGTTGTTTCATTTTCTGCAATAAAATTAACAATGACAGAGTGATGAATAAAATTTTCAGACTACACACAAAGTACTGAAATTTGGGCTAAAATTATGAAATCATTTTTAGTTTGAAAACCACATAATCTAAACTTAAGCTAACGGTTTCTTATTAGTTGAAACTACCAAGAAATACCAATTAATCAGAATGGGAATAAACAGTACTCTTTGTTCATCAGTTGAGTGCAAGAAATTTGTTGGAGTGATCATCGCTTAGTCTATATGTGGAATTTTTTTTTGCATATAAAAGCTAAAAAATTACATATATCAAAATGGAAATCTCATTACCGGTCAAAAGATCAATAAGCTCCACTAAGTCAGAATGTGAATCCATCAGAGTATTTCTCTTTTGAAGATCTGTACATGTTTCGAGCTCTGCATCAATTTCTTTCAGCTGGAAAGGAGAGAATTTTGCACCGAAGTAGCATCCCGGAATTCCAAGTAACTTTGGTTTTAAACTCTCCAGTAATAGTTGTGGCCTCAGCATGACTACCTTTGCATTTCTTCAGGCACGAACAAACAATGAATGTTAACTGTACATAAAGATGAAAAAAAATCTAAAAAAGTCTTAACAAACCTGCAACCGATAGTTTTCTAATTCGTTCTGTTCCATAATAATTTAATTCTATCGGTAATGTCAATTCAAACTCCAAAAAGAAACACAACTATATTCGAAAACTAATCTGTTGCAACCATCATCTTGAAGTACTCGAAGTAGTCCATTCAATTTTTGACATGAAATTTTAAACGTAACAAATCGCTCAGCAGCTGTTTTGCCACATATTTTTGCAACTTCATGTGCATTGCTTAATAATGTCAGCGCAAAACACAACGATGGTGAACTGGCAAAGAATATGTACTTGAACTATAAAGGTTCAAAATAATGGCAATATGAAGTTGAAAAAGTAATCAGTTGTTTAGTTATCTGTGTAACAAATTAAAGCTCCTTGTTCAAAACCGAACTCAAAAAAAAATTTATCAAACACAAAAAGTTTTTAAAACTATTCAATATAAACAGAACACTCAGTATACTATAGCAGTGTAAAGAGATAATAGAATAATCACACATCTTTTTCAACAATGTAACAATGAACAATGAACAATGAAATCAATACTACATAAAAGTTTATTGAACAATAATTTCTCAAAAAAAAACTCGAGCTGCGGAACTACTCGAGTCTTCTTTAAAAGTTTTGAGAGGAACTACAACTGTTCCTAAAATTTCCTTCAAAATCATTACTGATCTATTCTGGAACAAAAGATCCATATTGTTTGTTCCATGCTCGATAACCTTCGAGATCCTTTTCAACAACTGTTGGACGAACAAAATGCAGTGCTGTTTCGAAATCGGAAAAAGAGATTGGCCGAATCTGAACAAACAGTTTTTTTTAATTTGATAACATCATGAATGTTTAAAAATCGGGATGAACAGGATGACTAACAAAACAAATCAGAATAGGAATGGATGCTAATAAACTACTATCATATGAAATGTTATTAACTCAATAAATTAAAAAAATTCAATGCAGTAAGTATTCGAAGGGATTAATAATTTCCCGAACTAAAATGTCGAAATTTACAACATTCCTATCAATGATTTTTGGATTTAATGCTAATGAGAAAATTTCTGAAAGCTAACATCGTCAGCGCTTATTGAAGCAATATCGAGTGACGACGAATCCACAATATTGCGAACTGGAATCATCGCCGCCTCGGAACACAGTTGCTTCATATCTGCACCCGAATAACCTGTAATATTCTGACAGTGAAATTTATTCCATTTGCAGCAAGAAATAATAAAATCCTTTTCTTCCTGTAATAGCAGCAACCTGGCAAGTAAATTTAAAAAAAAATAGAAAAAAGATGCTATTTCATAAAAAAATCACTTAAGAGGGTATGAATTAAGTGTTCCTCAAGCATTAATCGTGTTCTTCGAGTACTAGATATTAATGACAAATTCTACTCAAACTCACCATTCGTTAATTCCGCCACGTGCTGTACATCGTCATCGGAAAGATTGTGTTTCTGGTCACTGAGAAGTAACTGAATCATTTGTATTCTGGCAGCATCACATGGTAAGCCAATGTACAATCGTTTAGCAAAACGACGTTTAACAGCCGAATCTAATTCCTGGGGCCTTAAAAAAAAAACATTCACAACGGTGCATCTTTATATTCTTCCCTCAGTTCAAGTAATTTCGCAACAGCGAACAACGAAGATATGAACTCAACAAAGGGAATACAGCAAAAGAAGTCGCACCTATTTGTAGCTCCTAAAATAAGAATTCTTTCATCGGAGGTGGTTGCAACACCATCCAAGTGAATAAGAAACTCAGTCTTTATTCGTCTTGATGACTCGTGCTCACTCTCACTCCGACTTGTAAGCAAAGAATCAATCTAAAATTACTGGATAAACTAAAAATACCATGAAAATAATAACTGCTATTGAATAAACTAAGATACCATGAAAATAACAAATTTAATTAATGACTTCACATTTTTAACAATATTCGATGCCTTATCCATCTGAATATACCGAAAGACTCTGAAAGCTCAAGACACATATTAAAAAGCAAAGGAGGCGAATATGCTCAAAACTTGAAATATAATTATCTTCGTTGAAACAAGAGAAAATCAAAAAAACCGAAAGTTTCACAGTGAAATTAAATTCAGTTCACCTCGTCAATAAAAACCACGGAAGGCTGCAAAACCCGTGCTATTGCAAAAAGGGCCCGGACAAGTTTTTCACCTTCACCAACCCACTTTGATGTAATGGAAGATGCAGCTATATTGAAAAACGTTGCTTTACATTGTGATGCAACACATCGTCCTGCAATAATAATTTCATTAATTAACGCTACCATTTGTATGAATTTGCAGAAAATATTTAACATCACTTTTTAATGATCGAAAATGTATATTACCAATCATCGTTTTTCCAGTACCAGGTGGTCCGAAAAGTAATACGCCTTTAGGAGGTGCACGTATGCCTTTGAAAATATCACTGAAACAATACTGCATGAAAAAAAGAACATAAACAAAATAGATTAAATAACCGATAAAAAACAGAAATACTGATGGCAATAAATTACAAGTTTCTATAAGAAACAGAAATGTTGGTGATAATAAATTGCAATTTCTACCATTTTCCAACAGTGAAGTGAACAGATAAGTTCCACCTTGAGCGCTTTAACATGAAATACTGCAGCTTATAGTGATTCAATTTATTTGTTCCCAAACATTTTTACAGTATCATCAGAAGAATGCAAATAGATGTTAAAAAATCAACTAGGAAGTACAAAAATAGCGTATTTTGTTCCGATATAATCTGATGCATTCTTTTCGGTGACAAGTAACTCAGCATATAGATATTTCTACGTGTTATATATCATTTACATAGGTTAACTACTAAATGCATACGGTCTGAGAAACGGAAGAACAATGATTTCTTTGAGTGCCTTTTTTGCAGGTTCCAAGCCAGATACATCGGCCCACTGAATGTCTGTACGTGTTGACATAATCTGAAAATTAAAAAAAAAATTTAGAAAATTCTTAATCAATTTCTCACTGGCTGCCAAAAAGAAAGAGGAAGAAACTTTTTAAGTAATATCAAAGTCTAAAAATTTGAACATTATTAAATGAAATATTTTTTCAAGACTGTTTTTACAACGAGCGGTTATTAAGATGAAGTTGTGAGCGGTGTTATAGTTCAAAACTATTGTTATGTTTGAATAAGTGTATTAAAGGCATGAATCATGTGCTATTCTGATGTCTCTCTCTCCCTTTATCACCGAAAATAATGCAGTGAAATATGAAAGTAATAATCTGCTCAAAGTATTTAAAATTCAAACCTTGGCCTTTTAAAAATACATGCACAATAACGGACCTCAGCTTCAATTATATTAATTATATTGTCGTCCAAATTTTTTAATGATTCATCTGCTTTCCATCCTTCTCGTTTACTAGTAACTTTACATCCACCATTCACTTTAGTTTGTCCATTCACCGCAGTTTGTCTATTCCTATTATTTAACATAGTTTGTCTAGTTTGACCATTCGCCATAGCTTGTCTATTTTGCACTGCTCCATTGCTATGTCCTCTAGTATTCATTTTATGCATTGATAGCCCATTTGTCAGGACAATTCGTCTGTAAATGTACAACTTTAATGAAGCACAAGAAAAATCTTCTATTCTGGAAGAGGCAACGCAAATGGATCCTAGTAAATGGAGAAAGAGATCCCCTAACCAACATCAAGATTGCAAGCATATAAAGAAACTGTTGGTTCGGAAACCTAAACTACTATGACAACAGTTTACAAAAAGTTAATAGAGATATGAAATAAAATAATGTGGACGAGAACTATCAATTCCGGATGTTAATGCAAAAATTTGCAAGAAGGACGGAAGAAAAAAATGAGACGGTTTACCTGCCTCCCAAATATCGTTGTGTCTTGTTTTTGTCGGCATTTACCTGAAAAATAGAATGATCAATTTATTTACAAGTTCTTTAAAACTCATCGTCAGAAATAAAGCATAAAAGCTACTGATTAATTATCTAGAAAGACTTATAAAAATTAGCGAAGCTTAAATATAGCAATAATAATGGCATGAGGAAATGCTTAGTTAAATTTATTAGGTTTCCAAAAGAGATATTATTCTTTTATCTATTAAAGAAAATTTCCTATCACTAATTTCTTCTTGGAATGTTAAAATATAAATTGCAGAAGATATATAAAAAGACTCAATGATAGACATACATTATGAGCAAGTACCGGCATTACTTTTTTAAGGAGTGGTCGTCCACTGGCACTTCTAAAATAAAAAATAACACCGTAATAACCGTTTGTAAAAACAAGGGTTTCAAAAGATAAGCTAATTACAACATACATGCAATTAAATCCTTGGAGTAAATTAATCATCAAGTTTTGTATAACTGTGTTTTAGGGCTTAAGCTATTCCACTGGAAATTTATATTTAAAGTCAGTGCAATCGCTGACGAAATAACAAACAGATACCGCTACGTCATAAGTCATAAAAAATTGCGCGTCACCGATAATTTTTCAAAAAACTGCAGAATAAAATCATACTTGAAATTTGTATCAAATCCTAATTCTGAATATGCACCATTTTCTGCCATGATTCGATAATACTTTTCAAATCCAGCATACATATCCGAATAAGTGGAATATGGATATTTTACACCAAGTACATTTAGAGGCAGTGAATTATTCTGAAATATAAAAAAAGTGGTCGATTCTCAATGTGTTCAGGACTCAAAAAATGTGTGATAATTTAGAAGTTCATTATGAAACTGAGGAAAAACAATATTTCAAATTTTGAATAATATGGTAATTACTTACCATATTATTCAAAATTTTTTGGCGCATTCTCAGGAATTTTGGATCGTGATTGAAATCGAAATATCTTTGGTTAGTTGTTTCTAGTTCCATCTAAAATAGAACAAAAAATCACACTTCCTGGTTCTCGAAAAAAGCAATTAGTTTGAAAAAGTGATTAGTTTTTATCAAAATTAATCTAACATATAATTTGCCATACAGCAACGTTAAGTTATTTCCAGCCAGTGAGTGAATAAAAATCGTTAAATGACAGTTAACAAAATAAGTAATACATCGTGATTTTCTACAAATTTCCAACAGGAAAAAAGAAAAATTCCAAATTCTGGAAGTGAATATGCTAAAAATCATCAACGTTTAACTAATCAATTAAAATCTAATGAAATTTACACTCAGTAACAAACTGCTTGACAAATTACATTTCAACACCAACTTGGAATAATGCCAAAATGGAAATAATTTTTTCCCGGAACTATCGTAATTGAATTTCATTTGCGATAGCAAAACACTGTTGATAATTAATTTCAAACAGAAAAGGACAACTCGAACTACTTAATATCTTAAGCATCCCATCATACCTGGTCAAAATTTGATGATGAATTATCGCCAACATTATTTGCTCTTTTTCGATTCATTAATGCCCCGAATGATTCTCCACTTTCCATTGAATAGAATGGCATATTGTTGTAATCCACTGAATAATTCATTTTTATGCTTTGTTTTGCTTCGATTATTCTATAATATTTTTGCAAATGGATGAAAATTTAAACAAATACAACATTACTGAAGTCGTCAAAGAGCGAACA